AGAAATCTTCATACTCATTGCCCTGATGATGGAGGCAGTATGACCTCTGAAACGTTGGTTAACATCGACCAGACTACACAGCGCAACAACCCAGAAGACGGAAATCTTCATACTCTGATGACGGAGGCAGTATGACCTCTGAAACGTTGGTTAACATCGACCAGACTACACAGCGCAACAACCCAGAAGACGGAAATCTTAATAAGATAGTTCCTTTAAATGAAAATCATAACGTTAAAGCTCAAAACTGGTTTAGCTAAGAGTATTCTTCTTCATCTCTTTCGGCCTGGTGATCATCCAGAATGCCGTTGTTACATCTCCCTTTGGTTCCAGACGAGCCCTCCGAAGCTACAACGCCATTTATTTCAGTTGTCTGTAAATGAAAAATTGCAGTCGAAGCTCTCGGCTTCAGAAACCTTACTAAGGGGCAGGTGCATTTTCAGCCAGGGAAGAAAAGTTGTTAAACCTTGTAACATCCTGACTTATGAAATGAGATTATTTTTGCAAGTTGTTAAAAGCGAATTGCCTCCGGCTGTTCCGTGTCGGACACCCGGCGGTTTAACTAACTTCTGTGTGTTTACCTCGGGGTTATGAGCCAGGGCATGAAGCCAGCCATTAGTATTTTGAACTAACAAATTGTGTCCACCCGAAACCGACTGCATGTGGTTTCATATTACAGCGCAAATGGTACAACATCGTAGGCCTACCCACGTAATTTATGCTAGTCAGAGGAGATCGGCCCCATTGTGGGGAAAAGCGGTGTCTTTGTTGCATTTTGTGTTTTGTAGTCTCAAGTCCCTTTAGCGATTCCATCTATCGACTTTCAGCTGATGTTTATAAGCATCATTAAACATTTCACGTGTCTCGGCGCGCGATAAGGACGAAGGAGTTGTTCAGGCTGACAGGATTCTCGTTTTTGTGCCGCCTCAAATTTGAAATATAACAACAGCCAACTTCCTGCGAAACGTGAACAAAAGGGGCTTCATGTCTTTATGACGGCCGTGGCGTGGCGATTGTAGATCAAGGACTCCGGTGTCCTGTCATGTTTGAACCGTCTTAAGTGCCGACCCAGTCGAATATGCCTGTTACGACCGAGAAAGATTTCTCAAAAGATTAAAGGCAGCCAGAGCTGGACACTATTACTAAGGTGTGATAAGTCATGACCGGGTGATGTAGGCTTATTAGGGTAGTTCTAGCCCTTTGAAGGGCGAATTTCATGCAAGAAATTGACTATGTAAATATTTTGGCTTTACCTGGGCATGCAAGAAATGTGTGTAAGGAAACAATTATGGCCGTACACAGTCCCTGTCTCTTCCCCAAAAGTGCTCTTATTAGCTTTGTATTATATATTGCCGAACTTTGTCGAGATGAGTTATTTAAATTTTAGTTACAATCAGACAATGACGGGAACTTTACATAAAGATCTATGTGCCTTTCTCGGCGTCGAAGTGACTGAGTGGGGAATTTCCAGGCTACCTTACTTACCTCGATTGTCTTTTTAATGATGTTTTGTCAGCAGAATAGGGTAAATGGCGTTAAATGTGGATGATTGCTTGTTTTTACCCTTTGAAATCGAAGATCATCTGCATGATATATATAAGAACTCAGTCCGTACCGCAAAGAAAACGACACTTTACCAATACAAATATCGGCTGGTCAGTGCTGTTTAAGTAAATAAACGCTGACCACCTGACCGCCTGAACAATTGTTAGCTTTTCTAGATGGAATTTTGCTCCATGAAAGTAGTTTTATTTGCTGTTTTGTAATAATATGATGTCTGTTGCGTTGCGATGAACTCTCTCTTAATATTTTGTTTACATCGACAACTGAGAGACAATGACGGCCTTCGAAATTATTGTTCAGCCATTAGAAATAAAAATTGCACGTTTAGCCGTGGATGCAATGAGGGCCGAAGTGCCCTCTGCACTGGCCCTTTCTTTCGAGAAGTCTGCATGTTTCGTTCCAGCGTTTAAGTTGATAAGTTGCCTGATCAATCGCTTAAGAGGTAAGGATTTAATTAATTATTTAGTCAGCGTGTGATTTAGTTACTCGGTTCAGAATCGATCGGCTTATGTAAAATGAAGTTTTGTAGAGTGTGGTAATAATCTGAGGCTAAAACAGCCATGAGACCTCGAATTTCGAGGAACTTAACAAGTCAAAGCAGTTATATCGTCGTCAAAGAAAATAGCCCCAAATTGGTGCTAATAGGACGTTAATTGCTTTACGTTTAAACCCCTGGACGTAAGAGGACCGCATAATACTGCCGGCAAAGAAAAAGTGTTTTCTGCAGTGTCTGTGTTGTTTTGTTGCAGTTAAACACACAGTGCGAGCCGCAGATGTCCCTGTCACACATACTGAGAAGCAACGACGCCTGACGTTCTTCTAATGCAGAAATAATCATGCGGACGTGTTGTGATGTCGTTGACAGTTTTGCGTAATGGCTTATCTGGATGAATGGTGCAGGTAGGCAGGCTGCCTTTAACATTTTATAGTATTCATAAAAAAATTCATTTGCAATGCACAATTTATTACTGCATAAATGTGAAAATGGTATACTGAATAAGATATGTAGACTGGAACGACTGTTCTAAATGTCTGCAGTATTACGTACAAATATTAGCACTATTTTCTCTCTGCAGAACAGATTACACCTGTCGCTTAAGTGTTGTAACAAAATTCACACATGCAAGTAGGCATATACGGCCTACAACTCGCCGATTGGCCCAACACATCAATTGGCCGATTTAGTCATTGCAGAGCTTTACATAAAATAAACTGCGGTATGTCTAATATTAACGAAAGTCGTTTGTTGGTTTTACTTTCTAAGATCATTTACGCTTATAACATTTTAGTTGGGTTCAGTAGGTCACGACAACGGGCTAATTCGGCGGTGTAGGCCTTTAACCCTTGCAGTTAAAACATCGTCGTTAAATAGCCTTGGTACTTGACGACAAACTCCGGATACCATGCATTAATCGTAGCCTTTCGGTAAATTAGTTAATCGAAGAAACTTTAGTGAGCATTATCGTGTCTCATTTCTGTTGATAAGCCCATGCCGACAAGAGTTGGTGGTCTGAATAGGTTATTTTTAAAATTCTTTGTTATTCCATCGGCGTGCCTCTTCACTCCATTCCCCATCTCTCAGTCTAATTTACTTCTCTCCTTTTTTTATAATTTCGTACTAATATTTCTGCATCACTCGCTTCTGCAGTATAAAATTGAAATTCACAGCCTGTGGCGCTCTGTTGAATCACGCTATGGTCCTACACATCAACACTGTTTCTGTGATATGTCCTGCGTCTGTACAGGTTTTATTGGCCCCAGCAGGGCCGCCAATGTCATAGCACTCCAAGAGCCATCGGTCGATCGTTCTACATTATGCATTTATTCTCTGTTTGTACATTTTCCCGAGGCATTCTAACCAATTTATAGCAATAAACTAAACAAAATACAGTGGTTGATTCTGCTGCTATCTCTAGTCATACCAATGCGTCTCCAACTTTCTGCTGCTATCTCTAGTCATACCAATGTTTCTACAACTCGAGAGATAGGCTATCAGGTCGAATTCTGACCTTGAGACTAGCTGTTATGATGTTGAATCTCCGTGGACTTTCTCAGTTCTTCAAATGTCGGCATAGAATATTCAAATGGGCCACGGTAGCTTCTCATTACTCTGTATCTGTTTCTATGTTATGTGCTTTGACTTTCAGAAATTTATACAGCGTCATAAAACACCCTGATAATCAACTTACGAAATTAACGATAATATTTCCTGGTTCGATTCATCGATGTTTCGGTTGGCATTCAGCACAACAGCGTTATATTGTGTGGACACAGCCTAACACATGTAGGGATGATCGCGTTGGTCCGTTTTAGGAAACACCCCCCCTCATTCTCCATGTAGGCACGACTTAACCCTTTAAAACTCAGTGGTAGCTACACGTACCACCTGCGTTAATGATTAAAAGATCTGAGTTTGTTCACAGAGAATATTATGGGTTTCGTATGATTCCCAGAATAAAAAGCGGTTATTTCCTTAAGCTGCGTTAACCAGTTGATTTTTGTCATGGTGAAGTGTTGTGTTTTCTTTGACGTACGGACTGAATTGTCGAATGTTACTTAGAAGAGCTTCGTCTTCAAAGGAACAGACCACACGCCACAATTATAGCAATATAAAAATTAATCTTGAGTTCTTAATAAAAGCGACGAAAGATCAGAGGGTCTGGGCTTTGTGTCCGCGTCACTAACGTCATCGTGATTTGCTCTTAATTTCGTGATTCCTGTGCCGCAGATGCACTGCACGACATTTATTCCGAAGAGGTCGTGTTGGTTATTAGACAATGCAGAAAACTACGTAATGAATTCTGTTATTAAGTGGGGAACAACTTCATCCATGTTTTCATTAAACTTTTTTATGTCAAACTTGTGGTTTCTTTATGCGCTATTAAAGGCTAGCCGCAAGTAATTTAGCGCTGTAATGACTGTTATACTTAGCGAACGCGAAACTGAGTGTGTTTATGCGATGAAGGAGCGTATCACGTGTGTGACGTCACTTCTTAGTGTCAGATGTGTTCAGAGGTGCAGTTCATGAACAGGTAATGGATTTCATAAATACATTCATTCGGTTAGGCTACTCACTTATTGGTATGTTTATCCAAATATCCATCCATACATGCATATATGCAACCATTCCATCTCAATCCATCATTCCACCCTTTTACTCACCCAGACTCAAACACTTCAAATGCGCAGATAAACTGAATGCGAGTTTTCAGGTTCTCACGGCAGCGAATATGAAATTGACTGTCATCTGGAACCTTGCGCCTTGTATTCTTATAGAAATTTAATTAATTGTCCTGATTACGGGGGCAGTAGAACCTGGGAAACGTCTGGAGACTTCTACTAGACCACGTGAGGCAGCATCCCAGAAGACAGTCATTTTCGGATTAACTGAAATGTGTGCTGATAGATGTTTTGTTTACCCCTGCGCCACCTCACCCCTGCCGATTGCAGGTGCGAGCTATGAGATACATGTGAGATCGCCCCTTTAGCCCAGAGCCTCACGCAACATGATCTTCAACTGTCACTGAGCAGGCAATCTGATTGGCTTGTCAAACGAAACAGGTGATAATCCCACACAAGTGGCAATGACTAATATAATTTAGCAAAAAGAATCAAATTTAATTATCAAGGGAGGGCTTAGACTGATCTCGGTCAAATAGCATGATGGTATTACTCGTGAACATCGGTACAGAAAATATTGAAGTATTAAATAGGTTGGTATGACCTGCGTTTCGTGAGTTTTTTCAGAGAGATATTCTGTAAAATGGAACGTTATGTATAACCAGACAACAAACCAAAGACACCCGAATATTCAGCAGCCTTTCTAAACCACGTGACCATATTCGTGTTCTGTGTAGCCTATCCATACTTTTACCTTCAAGAAACCAGGTGCAATGTTAACGCAGTTCGTATTCAGGAGGTCCAGAATTCAATCCTTCCTAAGAAACTCTTGAGCTGGTTCTGAAACGGACCGTGTCCACTTCCTTCCTAATCATAACAACTGTATCATTAAGCACTACATAACCTACGTAGTGAATGTGGGAACTACAATAGATATCATTAAGCACTACATAACCTACGTATTGAATGAGAGAACTACAATAGATCACTGCCTTTCCTTACAATCAAACTTATGTGGCAATGCACCTTTTGTAGAAGTGAATTATGAAGTTTATAGAAAGAGTAGTACATTTTGTAACACCCGTTTCTTTTTCCGTAAAAGCTTTGGTGAGCAGTCCGTCATGCTATCTGGTGGTAATTACGAACAACATCAGGGCTTATCATCCCTCGATCCGATCAGATAGGGGTGCCCTCCCCCTCCAAACTTTGAACTGTGACAAAACTGCACCCACGTACGCGTTTACACACCGAAGACACTTGTCACTGTCTGGTTGCTAGGAGACCAAGTGTTGCTATCATTAGAGCTGCTTGGGTTTATAGGAAGAGAACAGTCAGCCGATATTATATATAATATTTTTTGTAAATAACTTATGAATATTTTGCTCGGTTTCTATTTTGAAATAATTAATTATAGGCAAAGATAAAAAATAAAGAAATCCAATCCATTCATTAGCCAGGAAAAATAGGAAATAAGGGAGAAGCTTCAATCTTCCTGTCTAAAATACTTATGCAGCGGGTAAGAATTTTTGACTTGTATTAGGACGGCCCTAGGTTCGTATCTCGTCCGTGCTGCTGATTATCTTGATACCTCTTTCATTATTTTCCTCAGTTTCTCCACAGGCAGATGTTGGGCTATTAAATTTATTAGAATCTAGCTTATTTCTCTAAAATCTATTTCCTACTGACCGATCATAATCAAATAACTTACTTGTCTGATTCGACGATATAGGCCTATGACCCATGCACTTGAAACATTGTCGTTAAATAACGTCGCATTAATGACCCCGGCCGCGGAAAGAAAGTGAAACTTCCGCCACGTTTTGGTTTCCGTGATGAGAGTTATATTTCCCAGGAAGTTGTCGACTTCACTGGGTCCTGTGTTCCTTCAAGGTCCCTGGCCACGGCTTTGCGCATGTGCCGTGGATACGATCGAGAACGTGGTCCTTATTCGAATGTTCTTACCAATGGCGGAATAGGTGACCAGTGGATGCAACAAACTGCAAATGAGGAGATTCACAATTCATGCTCTTCGCCAGATGTCATTAGGGCGATGAAATCAAAGAAGGAAGGGATGCGTAGGACGTGTAGCACGCATCGGAGAGATGCATGTAGAATTGTAATAACAAAACCTGAAAGGAAAATGCCTCTCGGATGACCTAGACGGAGGTGGAGGATAATATTTAAACTGGTCTTGAAGAGATAGTGAGTGAGTGTGGACTGGATTCAGCTAGCTCAGGATCGTGTCCATTGGTGTGATCTTGTGATAACGGTGTTCGGCTGCTGCTGAGAGTTGTTTAGCTTCTCAAGAAGGACGCTGCTCCACAGAGTCCATCATCTTCACCTAATGTCAATTTAAAAATCTTCCTAGGAGCAAAAATACTTACCGTGTCACTTCAAGTTAAATTGTGCCCCCCGGGGCTCAGAACTGTCCCTGGGGGCCAAGGATGGAAATGTTGCGGTCACTTTTTTTACGTCGGATGTATCTGTCCTAGCTGCAACTAATGAATGGGGCGCCATACGTAATGGTTTTCTCGTTTAATGGAGTTGTCGCGTGCGTGAGGCATCACTAAATTCGCTAATAAACGCTGTATCCATCACCGAGATCTGGATTCCTGCCTGCTGTTACTTCACCTGGATCTACGTGACAAGTAAAAAGAAACTGGATTTTATTTCCGACCAAAAAGTAAGCATTAGACAACTACTGATCCTCAAAACACCAGACAGTGGATTTAGTTCTTAAAACCACTTCTTGGTCGCTCGAACAGATAATGTGTGGCTTC